GGCACTGTCCCTAGATTGATGGGATCCGCCATACACCCAGACCTTCTTCCAGCAGTGGTTCTCTGGGCATCCCTTGATGCAAGTTACCTTGTGCCAAATTACCCACCCAAAATCCCTGGTATTGGCCAAGAAAATGCTGTACACTCAGCTCAAACACCCAGCCACATTAGTGTCTCCAAAGAATCCTTACAGCATTCAGACCCTGCTGCTGAATCTTTACACACTACCTGTTAATTAATAGCACCTGCCATACCACAAGTGCTGCCCTGTAGCTCAGGGGAAGGTGGCAACACCTGAATAAGTGTGTAACCCTGATACCCTCTCTTTGCTCGGGGCTGGGTCCCCTTCCCCCCACTTCTGTCTCAAGCAAAGATTGACATAGATCATAATACACCCATGAGGTAGAATCTGCCTCCATCCTGCCTGATCGGAACCAAGAGCCTCTTCTACAGGTGGATTGTAAATGGAAACAGCTAGGCCCATCTCAGCACTTCAAGGAATCTTGTTGTGCAGTAAAAAACACGTGTGTTTGGTTTTTTTTAAAGCACCAGATGCTCCAAGTGACAATATAATTTTGTTTATTTTCCTTTAATACACTGCTGGTTAAAACTGCCAGGCAGTAGATTTCAGAACATTCCCTCAACCAAACATCCTGGGAAAATTAAAAAATAAACAGCTACATGTACCAAAAATAAAATAACCCACCCACACACCCAGCTCTTCTCCCCAAAAGAACAAGTCTTTGCAAAGCCAGTCTAATCAGAAATAGACATCTGTGCTTTTAACCCAGGGCCTAAGATTGATACAAACAAACAGTCACCGCAAGTTGTTATAACACAAAGCAATGGACAGTAAAAAAAAAAATAAAAAAAATCCTCCTTCAAAACCCTTTAGTACTGATTACTAATACAGATGAAGATTTACCCCAAAAGAAATTAATATTTCTCCCCATATTGCTATATCCTTCATGGTCATTCAAGTCTTGCAGCCTTGAGTAGAGCTTGCAACTGTGTGGTTCTTAATGCTCAACAAATCAGCTGACTGCAAGAAGCCAGTGTTCCCTTAGCAAGGAGGGACCTGCAAGCAGCTCATTCAGGCCTTGTCTACACAACCATATCCAAGTCCTGGGACCCACTTACAACACAGTTAAGAGTTGCTGTGCAGATGGGACCCAAACATTGTCACTGTAACTGGGCTAAAGCCTTGGACAATCCAGGCTATTTCTCCAAAGACCCTGAGAACTCTACTTTTGTTTCATGCAGCCTGGAGCCACCTTATAGACTGGTTAGTTTCTTAAGCAGGAAGAGCTTGAGTGCAAGAAGTCCCCAGGAGCAGCCCTGGCCCAAGTTTATCAGCCTATAGTGGGTGTTTTACTCACTCCAAGATCCTGACTGAACACGCTTGGATTAAAACCAAATCACTGAGAACTAATAAGCACACCCCTAACACACATGAATAAGAAATAACTATGGCTCAAAGATTTTGCATTTCCTAGATTCACACACACTAAAGAAGAGTTTCTGGTTAAACAAGACTTGTTAAAAACTGCTCTTGACACCTGTCTGAGCTGCTGTTTCCCACTTTCCCTGGGATTAATCTCTACCCACAGCCTCCTGAGCCTTTGCTGTTTGCTATGGATTATTCACATTTCCTGAGCAGACAGCACTCTCTCTGGGAGGGAAGAAAGCACTTCTGTATTTTTTTTTTTTTTAATAAAACACTTATTGTGGGGGGAAAAATAAAAACCAATGTCAGCAATGAGAGTCATGCTGATTAGACCAGGCACAGAGCACCCCAGGGCATTTCCCTGATCTCTTCAGAAATAGTTCTTTAATATATAGCCATAAACTCTGCGTAAGCCAGAGTCCAGGAAGACAGAACCCTGGCTGCAACCTCCTCCTCCTCACAGACCAATGCCAGAAGTTAAGTACACCTGCTACCATAGTCTTGGGATGAGTCTGTTCAGATCGGATGTGAAATAATCACAAGTTTCATGGGTCTGAAGCATCCCCTAACCGTTACGTCAAGATCAGGAACTTGTGGGAGGAGTTCTCAGTTCCAACTCACATTATATATTCCTCCTCAAGAATACATACCTAAGCTTATTTAGAATTAATCACTGGATAAAAACTGGTGGAAACAGAGGCAAGTGTGTAAAAAAAAACCCCAAACCTAGTCCCATTAGACCTTTGCACGGATTTGTCATGGCGATGTAGCAGAGCCAGATAGTGGAATTGATTCTGAGATTCCAGACCCTGCTCTCCCTGGGATTCCCACTAAGCAGATCTCTCTCCTGCCCTAATGGGCACAAGGAGCAGACAGATGCCGCAGAGGGTCTGCTACTAGCAGGAGTTTAAGAGAAGTTTTGTCCCAAACCACTTTCTCAGAATCTGTTACAAATCAAGAGCCGTGCAGACTCCAGTAGTTTTCTATCCCTTTCCAAAGAGACTGTGCAGGCTACAGCTGAAACTGTGGACTATGTTTCCAATGGTTGCTGCTAGTCCAGTCTCAACCACAGGAAAGCCAGGGATGAAGTACTGTATTCTGCTCTTGGTTTAGAGTCCCTGCCACAATTGCCACTCTAGGGGAAGCCCTTTGCTAGCAAGGTCCTGATGCGGGATGGGGTTGACATCATGCCATAAACTACGCTACTGCTACAGAAGCAGGACTGAAGCCATGCTGAAGGCCACGCTCCTACCCAAAATCTGACCTTCACCAAGCCCCTGAAAACAATGGACAGACGGGCACAATGTTTCCTGGGAGCTCCCATCCCTCTGAAGATTTCTTTGGGGAGAGCAAACCTGAAGGAGCCCGCCAGTTCCCCTATCACATCCATTACTATGCATCCAGACAGCAGAAACTATCAGAGGATATTCACAAGTAGCACCGTACTTCAGCTAGGACATTCCAGAGCATGGATCTCAGGACGGTAAAATAATACCCCCTGCTTTTAGAGGGGGAAGTGCCTGGATTAGGGACCGGTTCCTCCAGGAGTTAGATTTAAAGAGGAAACAGAAGCTTCTTCCAACAGACTTGTGATCAAACCACAACAAAAAGGCACCAAAAATGAACATAAGAATTTGCTTTGGCATTCCACTTGCTTCCACCTGCAATCCCAGAGGGAAAGGTTAGATATTGTTCCACTCACACAAACACTACAGTACAAAGTTACAGGGCTGGTTTAAAGCTACTAACGCCCACAGAATTCAGAGTTAAGGAAGAAACAGATCCTCACTCTCCCAACTGCACTGCGGAAGAAGGGCTCAGGTGTGTAAGGCTGCCTACTATTCTGAGATCCCACACCCTAGGCACAGCAGGTGGGGAGGAAAAACATAAACCAAAGAATCTCCACCTGCAGTTTGAATACCCTGGGCTGGGAAGGTTCAAGTCAAGCCCATATCATCACGTTGCTTTTTTTATGTTTTTAGAAAAAACCCTGGACTAAACCTGTTTTCTAAACAATCTGTCCAACAGAACACAACTGTCCATCCCCAGGCTTCTCAAGGTACACTGAGCTGTGGCCTGAATGTACTCACTCCACCCTGCCCACTATTGCAAGGACGCGCACACCCCGGGACCATGTCCGTATTTGCCCGCTGCTGTTTTGTTTGTGATACTGAATTTTTACACTACCTTGATTGTTTCTAACTGGTCTCCTAACCCCCAGGGCACTGGCCTGCATTATAGACTAACGGAGTGTAAGGCCATGGAAAAGCTCCTCCTTCAGGGAAGCAGAATAGCGGCGCAGCCATTCCAAAGGCAAACAGCCAGCCAGAGTTTGCAACGTGTCATGGAAGCAATCACTGACTCTCCACTCATTTCCACCATGCAGCAGCCTCGCCTGCTGATTGTATTTGCTCAACCATCCATCCCTAAATACAAATGGAAACCAACATCAGTGAAAGACAACGGCTGAACGATAAGATATTCCAACATATCAACAACAGAAAAATAAAGTAGCCCTAAACCACCCCCCCCAAGCCGCGTACCTCTTGCCAGTCTTAACCAGCTGAAATGCAGATGCGGCTAGGAAGAGATCTAGGCAAAAGCGAGCCACAATCGGACCTCAATATCCATTCATATGTTGGATGGGTCCCTCCGACCACCGCACCCCCCCACTCCCATCCTTCAATATCCTTCTTTAAAAAATAAAAATAAAGCACATGTTTCATTTGTCCCAAAAGGACCCTTCAAGTGAAGTCTGAAGCTGCCAGAAAGGAAAGGGTTGGAACAGGAAAGCAAAAAGGAAAATTGCTTTATTATAGTACCATCATGGGGCCAGGAGACCCAGCAAGCAGCTAAGGGAGGGAGGGAGCCCAAACCCATGCGAGTACCTCACCCCTAGTGCAGAAGATAAGGCTTGATAACCAAGTTATGGGTAAACAGAGCAAAAAATATTCCAATTTAAAAAAAAAAATCAAATAAACTGAATTAATTTTATTTGAAAAACATAGGCTGCAACACACAGAAGCCTAATGCTGTGCCGGCTACACCTAAAGACAGACTGCTTCATCCTCAGGTGGGAGTCCAGCACAGAGCAAGTGCATTGCCACTATTAGAAGGAACGGGGGGGGGGGGGGGGATCAGCTACCCTGGCCTTGCAGAGGAATGGACTAATCTAACAGGCCTCTTCCATCTCTAATGCCTATGATCCTAGATGTGGGCCCTTGAGCTCAAGCTGTGCAAGGTGCAGGGGCTGAGAGGTGCTGAAGGAGACTTGTGTCTAAGAAATGCTGGCATCTCAGGGGAAGAGAAGAGCACACTCCTCAGTTGGAAGGCTTGTTGTTTTCAAGACCAAGTTCTTGGTTTGCCTAATGAATTGGGGTAGTTTGTGCTGAACCCAAGAAGTTCCTGCTATTTGATTAAGGTTCCAAACCCTGTGCTGTTCTAGTGTGTTAGAGTGATCAGATGATGGCCAAAGAGATCCGGGGAAATCATAAGGTTAGACAAAATTTTACAGACATTGCCACTCGGAATAAAAAATGTCCTCAAAATTATTATGGTCAAGCATTCTCTGACTGTTTTACCAACTGAACTGCTTGTGCGAGCATTAGTGGCTGACAGTAGCAACGGGAGAAAGCTCAGTTGGATCCTATATTCTGCACTGGACTTACAGAACCAGAATTGTGGTTAAAACACAAAGCAGCAATGCACTTGCTCAGAAAGATGGCTGCTTTGGGGACCAATGCTCTGACAGTGTCCCTAGCTCCTGTCTTGGCACTCATGGCTGGGCAACACTTTCCACAGCTTGAAAATTAATAGGAAGAAAGTAAATGCCTTGGCTTCTGTAAACGGACTATTCATAGAGCTCTGCTGACCCTTCCCCAAGAGGCTCTGTCTAGCTTATCAAAAGGCTAGGTGTGAGTTGAGCAGCTACATACAATTGTGCTCAAAAGCAATTGATAGGAAAAGTTAGAATCCAGGCAGGAGCAGCAGGAGGATTACTTCTCAGTCAAGCTGCATGGTATGAAGCAGATGAGATGCTTGCCAAAAGAAACAGATTTAGCCCAAGGCAAAGAGAATTCTGCCCTGAGGATCAAGAGGATGGATGTTATTAGAATGAAAGCTGACAAGGCTGGTGACTCAAGCTCCAGAGAATACCCTTTACCCTGGCTGTGCAAGGTGCCGGGCACTTCCTGTGAGAAAGGCAGCACGGCCAACTCCCATAAGTCAATGGGAACTGAAGCTGCTCAGCACCTTGCAGATTCAGATCTTAAGTGATGCCAGCTGCCCAAGGACCTCCAGTTCCAGACCAGGAAGAGCGTGTGGATTGCACATTGCAGGCTTTTGTTTTCCACACTGCTCTCCTGATTACACCAGACTCAGATCCAGAGCGAAGCAGCCTCTCCTGCCACCCCACTCAGAGAACACATGCTTTTCATGCGGGTGCAGAGTCCACTTTCAGTGGGGGAAAGTGAACAGGGTAGCTCAGACCTATCATCAGATGACCATGGAAGCTGACCAGACTGATCTACAGCAGTTTCCATCCATTTCAGATTCTCCACAATGGATGGACACGCTCATCCTACTGGACTAAGAGGCTGAGCACCTTGGCACTTGCCAGCATCCAATTCTTTGGCACATCCTGATATTCCAAAGCCTACGCAAGATAGTTAATGGTAGGTACAGACTGCAATCTCACATTACTGCAGACTGGATCAGATCAATGCAGCTGATGCAGAAGGATTAGAGGGTCATTGGAAAGTGCTTCAAGGGTTGCACTACTCTGTCTTAAGGCTGCCAGACTATTGATCATAGCAGGGATGCACAAGCATTGGGGGCTCAGAGCCTCAATTTTTTTGGTCACCTGGTTCTCAGCCCCTCTAGGGGAGACATTGTACACTAGAGAGGGCAAGGTGGGATGGGGCTTGAAGTGAGCCACTGCGAAGAAAAATATTAAAAAGGAAATAAAAGCCACAACTGATACAGAAACCAAACGCATCCGGGGCAAAGACTCTGCAGCAAAAAGCCAGCCTATTGCAGGTCACAGCAGAACCCCCGCAGCAACAATCTAACGTTACACAATTATCAAACTAGGAAAGTCTCTCCCAACTGGTGCAGAAAATCAGGCCAAATAATTCCCTCAGCTCTTTTTGCAACTCACTCTAAAGTTGGAACCTTTCCTGGAGACCCATCAGCAAGTCTGAGCCTGTGTATCTTTAGGACAGAGAAGTATCGTGCATTTAGCTACACACATTCAGATAGCTGTTGAAAAGCCAGTCTCTTTCCCCCATAATTGTTAGTCACCCAAAGGCACCAGAACATCTGTGCACACTTCTGACCAAAACACACATCTAGGTCTCACTTCAAAGGCTGTTTTTCCAGGCAACATTCAGAGAGTGCTTCCCTGCTTAGCTTCTTAAGCTGGGACCAATTATCCACCTGGACAAGGGCACAGCGTTTGGGTCACGCAGCTTCGTCTCCGTGCGGGATATGGACCAAAGTTCGCCAGCATCAGCTTCCTACAGCCCAGACAGCCAGCAAGGATCCAGTTTAATCTCAAGTGCCCCGAAGAGGACAGGATGCTGCTTATGGTGCAACAGGGGAAGCCAAGGCCTCGCTGCTCGCTGGCTGGGGGAAGGCGAGCTCCCCCCTTTACCTGTACCTGCCGTTCATTCCAAATGAACTTTTTTTCCCTTAAATTATGAAAAATATGGAGAAACTGAAAGCAACCGCATTTGGTCCGACTCCTTTCCTCCTGGCCTGCGACCCCTGCCACTGCATCTCTGCATGGGGCTTGCCCTCACAACCGGCAAAGGCAGAAGAGGGTAGGAATGAAGACACCAAAGGCCACCAATATAGGGAACATGAGGCTGCTGTTGTCCGAGGCGTAGGGGTTTGGTGTCCGGGGGCCTGACTGAACCCGGTTCTTATTGGCCTGTTTTTTAACGCTGGAGCCTTCATCATACTCTTCTTCATCTTCCTCGTCCTCCTTTTTCTCCAGGCCAGGGTGAGGCTGCAGCTTTGGAACATCTGTTGGAAGAGAAAGAAATTCACTATTGTGAACACTGCAAGGAGCTGTGAGGATTCCAACAGGCAACTGACTCAAGCTGTCCCTTTGTGACCTGCCCCAACCCACACCCAGCCAGTTGAACAGGGCACATGGGACACCCCATAGACTGGTACACAGTCCCACATTGCCAGGACTCCACTCCAATACAAGCACCCTAATTCATGGAGATACTTCGATGGCTCCACTCTCAGCCTGTGAAGCAAATATTAGTATATGAATAAGGCCCTACCAAATTCACAGCCATGAAAAACGCATGATGGACTGTGAAATCTTGTCTCCCCCCATGAAATCTGGTCTTTTGTGTGCTTTTACCCTATACTGTACAGATTTCACAAGGGAGAAAGCTGGGCGGCCGGAGCGCGGCGGTTGTTGGCCAGGCACTCAGCTCTGAAGGCAGAGCCGCTGCCACCAGCAGCAGCGCAGTAGTAAGGGTGGCAATACCATACCAAGCCATCCTTACTTTTGCGTTGCTGCTGGCAGCGGCTCTGCCTTCAGAGCTGGGTGCCTGGCCAACAGCTGCCGCTCTCCGGTCGCCCAGCTCTGAAGGCAGTGCCGCCACCTGCAGCAGCGCAGAAGTAAGGGTAGCAGTACCACAATCCCCACATAATAACCTTGCAACCTTCCCACAACTCTTTTTTGGGTCAGGACCCCTACAATTACAACACCATGAAATTTCACATTTAAATAGCTGAAATCATGAAATTTACTATCCTAAATCCTATGACTGTGAAATTGACCAAAATGGACCGTAAATTTGGTAGAGCCCTATTATGAAGAACCCGCCTGTGAGGACAGAGCGACATCACCACTCTCCAGCTTCTCATTCAGGAAGAGCTACATCATGCAAGCACATTTGCCCCATCCCAACCTCTAATGCTCCTGGCAGCCTTATAAGACCCCAGGCAGGACCAAGACTTACTGCCTTGATAACCAAATGCCTCCCAACCCGTAAATGGAGACCTATCTCACAGCAGCTTCCCCATAACCTGCCAGTGCCACTCCTCGTATCCACCAAAGCAAAGCAATATGCACCCCAACCCACACCCCAGTCCTTGCTGGTCTGAGACCTGAGTTCAAACTCCCCACACAGCAAGAGACTGTGCTTCCACTAGACCACAGAGCCAACTCCTTGCCTGCAGGGTAGCAATCCCTGATCTCTAGAGCAGCAAAAAGACCCACCATATGATGAAGATTTCAGCTGAGTGCTCTGACACACAGCAACAAGAGAGCAGGGACTCCTGCTAACCCTTCCCACAAAGCACACCCCACACAGAGATATTTCGGGAGATTAAGTCTGGGAAAATTGCAGCTGCATCCTCAGAGCCAAAGGGGCAAAAGCCCAGTGTGGAGCGAAAGCACTAGGCCAGAAAAACTGAATGATTACTAGCTAAAGAGGTCTCCAGAGCCAGATCTTTGCAGAGCTGCTCACAATGTCTAGCAGCCAGAGAATTTAGCTATTAGCCAGTTTAATCGCCACTGAGACTGAGAAGGCCCCCAGTTTTTGAATTAGACACACAACCTGCTTTCCAAATGAAGCAGCCTCATATACTTGGAGTGAAGGACTGGGGAGACAACACACCTGTGATGCGCTAGGACAAAACTTCACGGGGGACAGCTGAGGGAGATGGGCCTGGCTGAGACAGGTCAGTTAAGGCTGCCACTATACGGAGAGTGCTATACACATGGTTTAAAAGGAAATCGGTTGCCCTCCAAGCTATAAAGGCTTGAAGGATTATTAGTTAAAAACTTACCATCCACTGTTCCTTGCAGGATGTATAGTGCACAGATTTTCGGATTGTCGTAGTATCCCTAGCGAAAGGGAAGACAAAGGTCAATGCTGTCAAAGAAGGAATACCCCCCACCCATCAAAGTCACTTCCCTTCTCCCTATGCACATCTGCACCATGTGGCAGGGTGTGAGGGATTGGGTGGAGAGGAGAGGAGAAAGAAGGGGCTTTCCCCTAGCCAGGGTTTGTTACCTTGACAAACTCAATGTGGAGCTTCCCGGTGAATGTGGAAACCTCTCCCTGGACACTCAGCTTCCCCTTTCTGATGCTGATGGGAATGATCTCGTCGTGAGCTGTGCTATGTCCAACTCGGTCAAAAATGTCCAAGTCCTTCACCACCACATGGCCATTCAAGCGCACATCAAACACCTTCAGGGGTGGAAGAGATTGTAGAGAGTATCAGAGGGGAATCAGACACATGACTGAGAGGGGACAGGACAGAAACAGTCTGTGCTCGTTACAAAGCCCGGGAGACAAGTGTTATTACTGCACGTGCCACCAAACCAGTGCAGATTCTCTGCGCATATGGCAATCTGTCTCCATATTGAGAAGGACCCACAGCCCAAAAATAGACCACAGAAGTTAAACAATTAAGCCCTTTCAAAATGGTTTCAAATAGACAAACCTGTATCCTGCCTCTAACACGTCTCCATAACTACTGTTCAGTACTGAGGACTGCAGGGAGTTTTATTAGGCCCTATCCTCAGAAGTACCATGCACCCACACCTCCCGTTGACTCGAATGGGAGCGGTTAGTGCTCGGCACCTCTGAAAATTGTGCTCTTGGCTTTTTAATCCCAGTAGCCTGGTGGTAAAACAGGGGAAGGAGAGACATGAGGGACAGAGAGGAGACCAGAGGCAGAAGAAAGGGGAGGAGTTAGGTAAAGAGACTGAACAGCTAACAGAGCGGAAGCTAATCTCTGGGCTGCGGTGACTCAAGCGTCACTCATAGCCTGGGATACCATCACAACTGTGTAAAGGAGCAAACAAAAGGAAGTAGGTTAGTCCTTAAATCCTACAGAACTCTATTTTGTCAGGAGAGCCACCTGTTCACATCCAATTATTTCCATCCTTCTGATCAGCCTCTACAAGCCAATGTTGCTGCTTAAAATAATCACCAAGTAGGAAGCAGCATGGTCCAGTGGACAAGGAATCAGGACTAGGGTTCTAATTCCAGCTCTTCCATTGAGTTATTGTGTGGCCTTGACCCCCACGTGCCTCAGTTTTCCCAACTGCAAAATGGGAATCACAAAGGTGGGCAAGAATCATTAAGTGCTTAGATGTCTCCAGAAGAAAGGTGCTATACAAAAGTCAAGTGGCAGTCACCTTTTGCTATATAAAGTTAGTTGAAGACATGACTTCACAGACAAGTACATTGAGCTCTACTTTATATTAGAAATGGATATGGGAGCTCAGGACACTTTGGAATGCATCCTTAGGAACCAGTTCATCCCTAGGGCAGCTCCACTGGGCTCAGTGGAGTTACATTAGAGATGACTGTAACCCTTAGTACATTTCTTTCACCCCTTTCTGTGGCTACTCCTACCCATGCATATAAAACACCACAGATGGAGATGTGCAAGAGGGCAGAGGGGAGCTGTGACCCTAAGAGCCCCTTAATACCCTCTAGCAAAGGGTTCATGGTCATGTAACAGCAACTTCAATCAGGCCTGACAAACTCACTATACTTATCACATTGCAGTCATGGTATTTATCTATAAAGAATCAAATGAAAACTTAGATCATACTGGTCATCATAATCATTAAGAACAATTAAGAAATAGCAGGTGTATACTGAAAATATGTTTAACCCAGCAAAGCAGGCAGGATTGATAAACAAAGTGTTCCTAGACAAAGGAATGCTGATTAACTTGTCTGCCTAATTCTCCAATGTAAACCGAGCATGGTAAAAGCCAACATAAGCAATCTTCATTTGCATATTAAGTCAACAGGAAAGGCAAATTAACAAAAGGATGAAAAAGACAGCATGAATAACACAGTGCCTGCACGCCAGCAGGGGACAAGAACTTTATCTAGGGTTACCCTTCAGAAGAATACACTTCAAAGATTTGCTGTTCCCTCTGGGGACTCATTTCACTGAGACACACTCCGGGTAGAGGGGAGATTCATGAAAAAACTGGATCCTGGTTTGACTGAAAATCCATAAACTTTGTGAAAGGCCTTTGAGGGTAAGAAAAATGCTTCAGCCAAAGGACTATAGCTCATTAAGTTATGGTTAGACTCTTCGAAGCATGTTAATACTTTGTTTTATTTGTAACCATATCTGTTTCCACTATCTTTACTCAGTATCACTTACATCTCTGTTCCTAAGACACTTATTCTTGGTTTTGTTATAAATTCATCTGAGTGCTGTTACGTAAAGGGTGAACCCTCAGCTGAGTTAACAGGCTGGTGTGTGATATGCCTCTGGGAGTGTCCAGTGACTGGGCCTGGATACTGCAGAGGAACATGCCACATGGAGTTTTGGGCAGTGAAGTGCACCTGAGGTTTACCTGCAAGGCAAAGTAAAGGCTGGCAACATTTTTGAGGAGGCTGTTTGGGTGGTTAGCAGACCAGAGTGTAGGGAACTGACACAGAGGTTAGCTCCCGTGAGACTCTCACCCTCCGCAGGGAGTAACAAGGTGATTCTCAGTCCTGAACTCCCCAAAAGCATGTCAAAGGATCCTGGCATACACAGCCCTAGACAGAAATTAGCATCAGAGATAACCAAGGAAGGATCCTGGGTTGGGGGAGACTTAGCTTACCTTCTGCTGGGACTGTGCAAAATAGACTTCAGCAAACTTCAACACCACAACGTAGTCGCCCTCCTCCTTGATGGGGACTTCATACCCAAAGGTCTCCTCGTTGTAACGCTCAGTCTGATACAGAATCTGATCCTCTGTGTTGGACCGCAAGATTGGCAGCTTCATGCCATAGTCAGAGGCTGGGTTCCAAATATAAAATCAACAAGAATGGAAGGGTTAACTTCTGAGGCATCAGCAGAAGACAACTCTATAAACAACCTCCAAGCACCTGCAAGAGGACCAATTCTCTTGAGGCCCCATAGTACCTCCTAATTCTGACCAATGGGGGGCACTACTTCCTTTCAAGTGTCCCCATCCCCACTTTACCAACAGCCACACTTCTTTTTTTAATCCAGTACACCAGAGGGGGAGGCAGGTTGAGCAGTGGCTGGAGGAAACCTGAAGCCTACAGAAACACAGTTCTGATTATCAACCATCCCCAAGCCAGTTAGCAGAGAAGAGGTCCTATTTCACAGACTGAGTGCGCTAGGGTTCCCCCGAGACCTCTTCCACTTGGTTCCCCAAGATCTCAGTTCGACTCCAGTCTAATTTCTCAGCTTCCTTTATTTGGAATATAGTAAAGCTACATTATCAGACTCAAGGATAGGGGGTGTGTATAGAGTATACCACACATCCAGAGTTACACAGCAAATCTCTTCCCTTATATACGTTTACAAATTACACTACATCACACATTTTGGAATTAGCTTAAATCACTTTGTAGAAACCAAACCCTGTACAGCACGCACTGTCCATGCATAACTTACTCTTTACCTCAGCTTACAATCCAGGTTTATCATATCCTTTGTTACCCTGTCCATTGTAAATGGTTCCCTGGGCATTCCCCGTATCTTAGCTAGTACAGACATTGTTTCCAGCCTGCTGATCCATTTACCTCCCTAATCCTGTCTCCCAAGAAATAAGGCCTCACCCATGTCAAGCCAGGCCTACAGCATCAGAGGACTTGGCCATGAGATCAGACTTCTCTAGAGACAGAGCACTTAGAACTTCTAATGTTTTAACCAACATGATGCAGTGCACAAATGAAATGAAGTCAATTTAGGACTGAGTCACCTCAGATAATATAATCCCATCCCCTGCAACTGACTTGACATTAAAAACCTAATTACAATTTCTCTTAAAAAAACATTAAAAAGCCATGTTCCACCCAAGAGAAAACATGCAGGCTGGGAGAGTGTTGCATGTATTAGAGGGATCTTAGTAAAATCCCTTTCTTCTTGCTAATAATCCTTCAAACACCACGCAGGGAACCTGAATCAATAAGGATGTGCGCACCCAAGGGCTCTGATGACCATGCAAACTACCTCATATGATTTTATGGGGTATACATCAGAGCCACTTGTGTGCGTGAGCCTTTACTTCAGTTATCTGTACACTACACAATGAAGAATGTTTCTAGCTGTGCCGGTATCTGAAGCAATCATGGAGGTTAAATACTTGTTTGTCCTTCCTTGTTGTTTAATATCTGTATCATAATGGAACTCAGGGGCCTCAATCAGCATTAGAGCCCCATTGTACTGGGCACTCTACAAACACATAAGATGGCATAAGCCCCAAAGAGCTTACAATCTAAAATGCTATTCTCATCGGATGGAATAGGGGAGACTCTGGATGGCATCTGCACAACTGGCACTTCCAGTCAGCAGTGAAAGCTGATCTAAGCTTTTAGTTGTCAGCTGACAGTTGCTATTTCCACTCCCATTTCCATGGAAACAGACATTGGGTTGGGTTGGTCAATGCAGAGTAAGCCAACAGCTCAGTAGCCCAGCACCTATGTCCAAGCCCATGGAAATGACAAGAGGAAACTAACACCTGTTCTACACAGCGAGAACCCTCGGGTAAGACTGCTATTGTTCTGTAACCACCAGGGACGGTCATGGAGGCTTGATCATCAGAACCACAGGAGGTGAAGAGCTCTCACTGTTTTCACATCCTGCTGTAAATACATCCCTTTTTCCAGCTACATGTTAACTAATTATAGTAGTCCAAATAGCTCAAACAGTAGCTCAACTCCTATGTAACGCTGCAGGTTAGAGACAAGCCTGCAGAGAAAGGAAGTTTGTTGTCAGGCTGGGATAGCGACCATCAGAGTGAATTCACCCAATCACACAAATGACTAATTCATTTGTATGCTGCAGTTCTTCATGATGCAATGGAAGTGGATCTGAATTAGCAGTATTTTTGTTGTGGTGAAGAATGACTGAAGCACCAAGACAGAAACAAACCATTACACATTAAAAGTAACAAAAGTAGCCACTATCTTCATTTGTTTGGCATCTGGATATGCTATAAATCCCTTAGTTATACTTTCTCCCTTAAGTCCCAGGGTCAGAATTTGAGGCTTGAGGGGAAACAACCCTAAAATGCCATCCCAGGACTTTTAAGCCATCAGCAGCAGGATTTCTGTTGCAGCCATTACCTGCCCATCCACACAAATGGGAGCAGAATGAGTAACTGAGGGAACTAAAATGATGGTGCAATAAAAACCGTTGAAGGAGAAGGAAGATAGCAGTTGACCTCATGGGTTAAAGTCTTACTTGCTGAGCCCGGCACTGTGGTTGCAGCAGGGTTATTGTAACAGGCTGCTGTTCAGTGAGGCACCATGAACAAACACTCTTTTGGGAGGAGCAAACCACAACACTGCCGCACTGTTTGAAAAGGAACCTTTTTTTCCCCTCAGATTGAAAAAGAGATTGCTAAAGTCCAAAGAGACATTCTCCTCCAGGTTGCAGCTGCAAGTGTTAATCGTACAGTTGTAGGTCAGCCTCCCCTTCAAATTAATAATGATATTTGAACACCTACAGCTAGTGAAATACAGGTCACCAGCAGATAAGCCTTTGGTGGGGCAAACTAAAAGCTTATAAGCTTTACAGAGTACACGTATTTAAATGGTAAATTCCTCTGGGCTGTTACTTGTGTGTGAAGGGTCAACCACATCTAGGGCACTGTGTAAGTAGTGACACCATCACTGCAAGGAAAGCTGCATCGATGCTGTATGTTGCAGCTGTAGCAGTGATGGGCAGGAGACCCAAGCCTTGAATGGGTAGTTCACCTTGTCTGCACCACAAGAGGTACCTGTTGCTGATAATGGATGTATCTTAACACAATCCTTTGTTACACTTGCAGCTAAGTGATATTGTGCTGCCACCATTATCAGCAGCAGGCAATTTCCCCACCACAGACAAGGCTTTACAAGTCCAGCAGCATCTGCAACACTGAGGCTTTGTCTACATTACACTTTCGTTGTTAAAACTTTTATCACTCAGGGGTGTGGAACTTACTCCTGAATGACAAAAGTTTTAACGACAAAAAGCACCAGCGTGGACAGCGCTTCGTTGGCGGGAGCTGCTCTCCTGTCAACAAAGCTACTTCCCCTTGTTGGGGGTGATTTTATTTTGTCACCAGGAGAGCTCTCTCCTGGCGATAGAGAGCAGCTACACGGCTTACCTTATAACAGCACGGCTGCAGTGGCACAGCCGTACCGTTGTAAGGTGTGCAGTGTAAACACAGCCTGAATCTGGATCGCAGTGTTTGACGCTGGGTGTAACAGTACCTGACTAGAACAGGGATCATGTTCTTTACCTTCAGCCATTATCATATTTGAACATCCAGAAGTGGGGCAAAGGAGAACAGTAACTTGGCTCCCAAGAGACATTATTCATGCTGTGGGCAGATAAAGAAACCAGCATCTCACTTCATGAGGCTTAAGTGCTGACTGGCTCCTCCCCTACCCTAGAACTGAGGATCCAAAGTGCAGCTGCAACATATTCTATGTCCTACACCCTCTGGTGGATTTTTGATTTCACTGCTTCAGCAGCTACAACAGTGGTACATACCCCATACTAGTGTATTCCCATTTACTGCCTTTGCCCAGGACACAGCTAATGTAGAATCCTGCCATGACCTCAGGGCTGGAGGTCTGCTGCCAGAAATGGTGGGTGAGCCAGCAGTCACATTTTCATTTACCGTGACCTCCCATGCAATAGGTACGAGGGTTCCTCATTCACCAGCAGGTGCTCAGCCCTGCTGCCCCCTGGTAGAATTCCATCACTGGGTAATGGGTCCTGCCACCATGCAACATGCAGTTCAGCTGTGGAAAGTGCCTGAACCCTGTGCTTGTCTCACTGAGACTGTTCCCAGCGGGGCTTCAAACTTACAGGCCCTGCTGCAGAAACTGGAGTCTTTCTCTGGAAAAAGCAAGTTGCTGCATGTTGTTGAATGGTCAGGCTACCAAACTGGCATCACCCTTCAAGAGTAAGTTCCACTTCAGTCCATAAGGACAGACTTCCCCTCAGATGACATTCCTGCAGTCTAAAGCAGGGAACTTGAAGTTTTACAAGGCTAAACCCTGCAAGACTCATCCAGTTAGCAGGGAGCTACCATATTTCAGGTGAGACACTGGGCATGCTCAACAGAGGGGTGGTTTTTTGGTCTCTCAGCTCCTGTGGGCATCCCCTCCCCAAAAAAGGCCTTGTTTAGCAGAAGCTAAATAACTTTTTAAAATTCTTCTTGCTGATAAGTATCAGAGAGGTAGCCGTGTTAGTCTGGATCTGTAAAAAGCAACAGAGAGTCCTGTGGCACCTTTAAGACTAACAGATATATTGGAGCATAATCTTTCGTGGGTGAATACCCACTTCGTCAGACGCAAGTGGGTATTCACCCACAAAAGCTTATGCTCCAATACATCTGTTAGTCTTAAAGGTGCCACAGGACTCTCTGTTGCTTCTTGCTGATAAGTATCACTTTGATATTTACAGCTTTCTGATGGACAATACAGAGAGCTCAAACAGTCTGTTCCTGTGAGGTCTGATGCAGGGTCCCCAAAGTGCTCATTTCCTTTTTCTATCTCCCACTGGAGGCTACCCTCCCAAAAGTTAGATCTAGACTCATCTCAATGAGACACTAATGCCCTAGCGGTTTCAAGAAGAGTGAAGCCATTCAGCTATGAACAAATAAGCAACTTATGCTCAGTTAGGATCACATGCTAGACTCGTGATATAATCAGCGGTGGACGACACCAACCTCCCAACTGTTCTCCCTGGCCTGCTGAAACAGAGCACATGCTGTAAAGTCAGACTCTGCAGCTCTACAAATAGCTGCTCTCGTGTATGCACCTGGCGAGAGTGTCATGGTGGCAGAAGCAGGTAGCTCTGAGTGTTATACAAGTTCACATGCAGTTCAGCCCTATCAGCCCGGTCCCCTTCCTCATCTGGAGAGGAGTAAGGGCAGAGTGTTAAGGGCAGCCTTCCATTGCCACATGGCTCACAGCATGTGACAAGGCAAGTACCGATTCCCTTTCCTGTCTCTCTTCACCCCCGTCACAAAAACCCTCCTCAGTGTGACTGGAAGTTACAGAACAGGGAATGAAGGAGCAGAACGGGTACCCAGCATGGCAAGTGCTTAGGTTATCAACAGGAAAATGGCAACCAAGTCAAAGAGAAGTGTAGGGGCAGGGGAACCTTTATCGCTGTAACAGATGGGAGGAGGGTTCAACACTTGCTGGGTGACTGGAGACAAGAATTGCTGAGATAGGGAACTCCTCCAGAGGAGCCAAGAGCACCAAATGGGGAAAGGAAGAGGTGAGGAGAGAGGCCAGGAGGAAGCAGGAGGGGGCAAACAAGGCAGAAGGGGATGGGAGGCTAACCTAATGCACTGAGGACATGCAGGGCGGCTGCACCCAGGAGTTTGGCCCCTCAGGGCTTGTTTAGGGTCTCCGGCATCAGTGCAGACTGGCGCAAGCCAGCAGGGCTCCGAAGTCCTAGACGGATGGGGTCGTCCCTTTAGCCCCCCTTTGAAAGATACCTGGCTAGGAGCCGTTCTTCTGGTAAGGGTACGTGGGCAGCAGGCCCCGGTCCGCACCTGGCACCTGCCCCCAGTCGGCCGCTGAGCCAGAAGCCTCCAAACAGCCCCGGCCAGGGGAGCGAGAAAGCGTCTAGCCGGGCTCCAGACGGCCCCGTTAGCCACTGCTCCAAGCGCTCACCGAGCCTGCCATGAGGCGGGCACGCCGGGGCAGCCGGCTGGGCCCCTAGGGGGAAGGAAGGGTTAAGTGCCCTTCAGATGCGCGCCTCTCACCACCTCACACCGCCCGCTGCATGGCAAGGAGCCTGCCCGTCCCGGGCCTGGGCAGCGCGCAGCACAGGAGGTGCCACAGCCTGGGCTGGTCGCCCTGGAGGGGCAGCGCGGCAGGTCGGTGCCTGAGGGGCGAAGGGGGAGCGGGAAGGGGCCGGCGGGAGGGCAGAGGAGATGACGAGAACAGATCGGAGGGAGGCGGGACGTGGCCAGGCCTCCGGCTCCCTCCCCCCGGGGCCTCACCTCGGCCCACCCGGCCCTCGAGCGGGTCTTTGCGGAAGTGGATGCCGTTCACGTCCACATGGGCCTCGCCGCCCGCGTTCACTGCCCAGATCACGTTGTCGGCCAGGCCGGCTCCCGAGGCCCCCAGCAGAGCCGCGAGCACCAGAGCCGCCCCAGGCGCCCAGCGGGCCCCGGTCGCCCCCATCTCCGGCTCCCGGCTCCTGCTCTCAGCTCAGCGCAGCCCCGCCCCGCCGCACATGCCGCCCTCCTCTTCCTGCCGCGGCAAGGGGGCACCCGAACCCGCTGGCCAGACGGAGGGAGACCAGTCAACCAGTCACCGCCCGTGGTCTTGAATGTTAACTACCTGCCCGTCTGCCATTGGGTATTGGAGTCACCACATTTGTATATTAATAAAATGACGAGCCAATAGGAACGAGCCAGGATAGCAAGTTTGGTTGAGAGATCAGCAGGTACCAGGCGGCTAAGGCTGTTGGGTTGGCAAAGGCCGGGGGAGTGGGGACTGGAGCGCACCATGTGCGGGGAGTGGTACAAACCCACGCTCCCCCACGCCCCCCCGAACGTCTCCTATTCCCGAGCGGGTGATAGGTTCCTCCTCTCTCTGGGCTTTTACCATCCGCTCGGGAGGGGGGACACGGAACGCACCACTTGCCCGAAGTGGGAGAAGCTTCTCCGCGACCGGGCCGGGCTCCTTGGGTGCGACCACTGGGACACAGAGGAGGAAAACGGCAACGCAATGTTCCCTCAGTACTTCCTCCCGCCACTCCCGGGCCAGACCGGCCCCTCTCTCTCTGAGATCCTCCCAAGGGTCCCACCAATCAGGAAGCTCCAACGCGGCTGGAACGTAATGCATTGTGGGAAGGCAACGGAACGGAAGCAGGCGGGTGGCTCAGCCTGTGGGGGTTCCCATGGCAACCGTCACCTTCCCCGTCGCCAGCGGAATGACGATTCTTGTCAGACCCGAGTCCCTCTATCCCGGGAGACGGGGATCCCCGCACAGGGGCAGGGAGAGGAGGGGGATCCCCGTGTGGGTGCCGGGGCCCCGTAGCCTCAGGGAGGGGGATCCCCGTGTGGTGCTGGGTGCAGGAGCTCTGCTCCTGGTGAACATCCAGCCCATGGCGGGGTGCAGGGGGTGACCGGTTTCTTTTGCTGGTGGAGAGGGAGGACGTTTGTGAAACGCTTCTTTAAGCATCACCAGTTCGGTGCGTTGGGTGCTCGAGGTGCCTGAAGAGAAGTTGACGGATGGGGCCTGGCATTTCAGGGCCTGCCCACGGATGAGGCAGGCAGATTAGGAAGCCACATTTTTAATTTCAACCCCTGGTTTAACCCATAAGCGGAGGCTCCAACCCCCACTACACACAGGCAATCGCGAAATGAAAGAAAGGAGTTCATGTGTGTTCATAATGGAAACTGTCAAGAAGCCAAGTAGATCTCATGACCCCAGGTAGGGCAGTTCCTGCAAGACATCCAGCACCAAACAACTACATGGTCAAAGGAAAACTTTTTAGATCTGGGTGTCCTCACTTGGTGTCCCACCTACACACTTCTCTCCCACCTCTTGGCATTTCTCTCTGTCCTTCCAACTGTCTCACTTTCCTTCTTTCTATCTCTTTCCTTAATTTACATCAGCCCTCCAGTTCTAGTTTCTCTATTTGCAGAGAAACTGGAAAGGTGTAATCTGTGGGAATAATGTGATTTCCATTTTTCATTTAATCATTTATTTTATTTGTATGGATATAGAACTAGATCCTATTATCCTGATGCAGAGAACATCCTGTTAGCATCATTAGGAGTTCTGGATAAGGACTGTAGCATCTGACCCAACTTGACTGAATTCTCTAGATGGAGTCATCCCATACTCTCATTGGTTCTCAAACTTTTGTACTGGTGACCCCTTTCACATACCAAGCCTCTGAGTTTGACCCCCCTTATACATTAAAAACACTTTTTTATATGTTTAACACCATTATAAATGCTGGAGGCGAACCGGGGTTTGGGGTAGAGGCTGGCAGCTTGCAACCCCCCATGTAATAACCTCGCAACCCCCTGAGGGGTCCCGACCCCCAGTTTGAGAACCCCTGCTTAGTTTACATCATACAGTTGCTGACGTTCAGCAACCAAGCAACTGCAGCCAAGAGGAGGCATATAAATGCCAAATGTGGTTAACAACACTACTCTCAAACACATCTCACAGGTTATTCCTAGTGAGATGTGACTCTTGCTTTACAAATTTATGGGTTGCTTGGACAAGCAGGTAGAGCTTTTCTTTAAACATCAGGGCAGAGTCTGTTTAAAACGCTTTTCGTTCCATTCTCTGCTGCCACAGTTAATCCTGCCTCTGCCTGTCACTTTTTATTTGAGTGCCCATTACTATGCTGAGTAGATGGATGGGAAACCAGTTAGAGCACAAACTATACTGAAACAAGATTCATAGATTCTAGGACTGGAAGGGACCTCGAGAGGTCATCGAGTCCAGTCCCCTGCCTGCATGGCAGGACCAAATACTGTCTAGACCATCCCTGATAGACATTTATCTAACCTATGGGAGTAGCCACAGCTGCTGAGAGAGACTCGTCAGGCAATTTTTGTAGGTGCAGCTTTTCATCAGATCAGAACAGTGCTTTCTTTGTGTTTATGCTTTTTATAGGGACTGTTAACCCAGTTTTAGTCCAAGCAATACACTATTCCTACGCAATGCACTGTCCAGAATCCAAGATGGCATAAACACAGGACCCACCAAAACATATTAAATGTCTCTTGAGACTGAGGGAAATGAAAAGACTCTGTGGATGGTGTCTACTAAGAAATCTCTGAGTTGGTGTGAGAGGGAAAGCAAAATGTCTCGGGAAAGTACAAGAGGTGGCAAGACAGGGAAGTGAAAGGTTTCTGGGGTGATTGCAAAAAGTGAAGATACTGGGAAGTCAAAGGTCTTAGGGACCTTTTCTGATCTTCATAATAAATGCAGTTGAAAGGTGAACTGCCAGGGAAAGAAAGTATTTGTGTCCTTTACTGCTCCTTAAAGGGTTTAAAGTTATTGCACCTAATCCTCACATACCTCCCTCCCCCATATTGTGTTTTACAGAAGAACTGTCAGGACTTCACGTGTCCTTATGTTATCCTGGAGGACTATGAAAGATCTTTGGAGGACCTGGTATAGGACTTCACAGCTGAAGTTTGGATGAAACCTGATTTTTTAACGAAGTTCTTGCTCAAGGTAAATGGGGTCAAATAGCCTCATGATTTTCACATTTGCCCCAGTATGACCTTGAATGTCATTCTTGTTGTGGTCCTCTCTCTCTCTCTCTCTCTCTGTTACTCCTGGAAGTCTCAGACTGAAGCTGGGTTCATCTGATGTCCTACTTGCTCCTAAACATGTCACACTGGGTGGCTATCACACTGGCCACTTACCATCTTTTATCCTACACTTTGGCCAGAGGCACTGCCATATTTAAAAAAAATCAGCTCCATAGTCTTTTTGTCCAGTCTTTGCCTTTAATCACAACCTCAGCACTACAGATTGTAGTTGAAATTATTCTACATCTTTTCTAAAGCACCTTGAGAAGTCTTGGCAAATACAGCCTTGCAAAAGCTGAGTTGGTTCAGCGATAGGATACTAAAGCAATCATTCCTAAGACCTGCAGAGTGTGAAGCTCCACAAGTGGGATCCCCTTAACTCCTTTCATAATAGGATGAATAAAGTAGCCAGTCCTGATTTTGCATACATTGGTCACTAGAGGGCAGTATGTGGTTAGAACTGTGTCCCGAAATGCTTTGCGATGGATTGTCCGAAGGAATGTGGCAAGACCATGTTCTTAAAAAAAAATGCAGCCAGAGGCCTGGCTCAGCAGCATCTGCCTCCCTTAGAGCTGGTGACAGGAAGTGCCAGCCACAAAAATACTTTGAACTCCCATTCCTGGAGCCTCATTCTCAAATGCCAGTCTCTAGAAGAGGGGAAGCCCAGAACAATATAGCGGGATAATTAGCTTTATTAGAGCTGATCTATACTCATAGAGAAACAAATGCCTTCCAAAGGTGACACCCTTAAAAAGAAATCCTCTAAAATATGTAGGCATCTAACGCTCATTGAAATGACATTTGAAATGGAGGAAAACATGGCCGTGTATCAAGGTGTAGTCAATATCAATAAGTGACTGCAGCCTTTCTACTATTCCCACTTCATTAATTACAAAATGCATTTTCCAACTCATTTTTAAAATAGCTAGCACTGTTCTAAAGGGACACCATTGTCCTGAAAATCACTTTTCCTTCTGAAAATATTGTGCCTGTTGTTAAAATTGGTATTGCTGACACAGATTAAAGAAAAAATATTTTCTCTGTTTTTTCAACGTTTTCTTTGGCTGTTTGACAGCATTTTGTGTGCAGTCAGTTTCACTGATGATGGTTAATTGTACTTCCCATCTCATCTGCTAGCATGCAACATCTCTCTCAAGCACTGCTCAGGGGGATCTCATATGCTTAACCCAAGGTCCTGGCAGCAAAACAAACTGAAGAGGCATCAGGCAGGTGTGTGGCAAGAGAGGAAGGAGCAGAAAGATGGCGCTAAGCAGATTTAGGCTACATCTTCACTACAGGGGGGGGTCGATTTAAGATACGCAAATTCAGCTACGCGAATAGCGTAGCTGAATTCGACGTATCTCAGCCGACTTACCCCGCTGTGAGGACGGCGGCAAAATCGACCTCTGCGGCTTCCCGTCGACGGCTCTTACTCCCACCTTCGCTGGTGGAGTAAGAGCGTCGATTCGGGGATCGATTGTCGCGTCCTGACGGGACGCGATAAATCGATCCCCGAGAGGTCGATTTCTACCTGCCGATTCAGGCGGGTAGTGTAGACCTAGCCTTAGTGATGTTGCTCTCTGGTCCACCCAACAGACCCTTCTAAACATCATCAGGAGAGCAGCAAACCCTTATGCTTTTTAAATGGCCTTTCCATGCTATTGAAAGGGGACTCATTTAGAACAGTGTATTCTTAGAAATAAGTATTCCAAGTTGTGTCCCTCTAATATCTCTGTGACTGGGAATTGTCAAGGAATGGGATGTCCAGTCTGCTGACTGAAGCCGTAATCCTGCACACTGCTCCATATGGACAGACCCCAGAACCTGGCCCTTAGTCATGACTAAAGGACTGCTAAGCAGCACCATGAGAGGCTGGAAGCTTTCACAGTTGTTTTAAGGTTAGTCTTGTTAGTTACTA